AGCAAGCGCGAGCACATAACATTCTCCGAGCAACAAGCGGTCTTCATCACAGTTTAAAAGTTGGCTCTACGAGGAGAAATCGGTGATGAAGACCTTAGGTGATTAAAACTATAGTTTTTCGATGCGGTTCTGTTCATGGTGCTTGTGAGCCCAAGCTAGGGAAAAGTCCTAAGTCCCTGGGAGAAAATCCACTTTTTTCCGGGAATGAAAGGTAAAGTGGATTGATTTTTGATATTTTTTTTGTTTAGTTTTTAACTTCCACCATAGTCGTGCGTATATGTTTTAGTCCCACACGCCGGATAACCAGGTTCAAATGCTGATCGGAGACAAAAAAATTGTTAACTTTTTTTCTCAACTAGCCTATTCAGAAGAATAGAATAAGTTAAATTTTTTATGCTGTTACAAAAATTCGATGGTCGAATGTAGATGTCGTGCACTCTCAAACTGAGACATCAGGTTCAAATCTCCATCCGGCAGAAAAAGTTCTTTGTTTTTTTTAAATACCAAACCTATTTTTCAAACTCCCGAACTAAAAAAAAGATAAACACCTGCGGTTTTCAGCAGTATCACTTGTTTTATTAATTGTTATGAAGAGGACCAGTTTGGAGGCTGCTCCGTTGGATTTATAGAAATTGATTGTTTCCGTTTCACTCTCTGTTATTTTAACGATTTTAAATCCATTCATAATATATCTCTTATCTTGTTTTCACTGCCTTTAGCTGTGGCTATACCAGTAACTGATAGTAAAGGGGTAATACAATTGACCAATACGCAAGAGGAGCCAGTTCGAGTCCCAGATCAGCCTGTTAAAGGTTTTTGCACATTTTTACTTTGATCGATTTCAACTTGTTGAAATTTTTTAAATAAAATGATCTGCAATGTCTTTTCAAACGATTGAATTTAAATTTTTTTAATCAGGCTGTTTCGCTTTCCCGCAGGGTTTGAGCGAAACAGCCTTACAGACAACTTTTTAATTGAGATTCTGTCGTCAAGTTTTCTTGTGTTTGTTCGGTAGTTAAAAATTTGCTATTTGTTTGAAACCTTGCGTGATTAGTGAGCAGTGCGTCAGGTTTTTATTCCAGGAGGGAGCTTCGAAAGAGAGAAGTGGCAAAAAGTATACTGATGTCAAACAGTCACTGACCCGGTGCAAACAGCAAAAAGCCAAGAACCCTGACTTTGCCTCGCGCCCTTGGTGGTTTTTTTACAGACAAATTGACTTTTAAGTAGCAATTTTTGACATATATTTTTTTGTATCAGCCATGTGGTATTAATGTACTGCGCTAAAATTTAAAAAGACGCATAATCTCGTGATCTTTTTGTGCTGAGTTAAAGGCTTGAGAGATAGCCAATTTGTTATAATTAACGCGGGATATATTTCGTGCTACATGACCCGTCTTAGAAACCGTTCCAAATTGAATTGAGGCATGCTATTTGGTCTACTGAATACTAGGCTATCTGCGCAAAAATATGACTTTATGCTTTGTATAACCTGTGGGTTGAAGTTTTTTTTTCAACTAAACGCTGGACGTTAGAAGGCATTCTGAACATTCATGGCTTCGCCCTAGTAAGAGCAGTATGGTTGCCTTTTCTTTCTTTTTCTCTTGTCTTTGCATTCTAAGAATCCTTCTTGCCGTTTTCTCGCCTGTACGTGAAGTGCAGCTTCGCCTCTTTGTATTTTATTTGTTATACAACTACAAAATGTTCATTTGAACAGTTTTTGCTAAAAGGAAATAATTTGCAACAGCTCTTGATAATGTGACATGATTCTTTTTGACTCTACAGTTAATGTTTTTTTTTCAAGTCTGTCTCTAAAGCGTTTAAGCTCACACTCTTGAATTCACAATTCAGGTGTTAATTAATTGTGTTTAAACTAGTTTCAGCTTAGTGTTTACACTAGTCTCAGCTCAGTGTATTATTAAGAATCTTCTTTTTTTCTTAACTAAGTCGCAAATATTGGTGCCACTTTTCGGGCGCTTTTACAGATTTTTGACAGCATGTGCTTTCAATCATAATAAGTTCGAATCATAATAAGTTGACAAAGTTGATGCATTTTAAACTAATCAAATGAACCGAAAAAAAAGCTATTTGTTTCAAACCACTGAAGGCATCCACACTATTTTTGCATGTAACAAATCGCAAAGCTCAAAGCCACACTACGTATAAAAAAAATGCAAGATATATTGAATTAGAAAATTTTTGAAGTTTTTATTATTGTTAACTCAATATATCTTGCATTTTTTTAAATGCATAATTTATACATTATGTGGCTTTGTGCTTTGCGATTTGTTACATGCAAAGTTAGAGTGGATGCCTTCAGTTCGTTATTTTATTACTTGCAAAATTGTGTCTATTTTCATTTGGTGCCACTTTTGCTGAAGCGTATTGGCAGTTTATTAGCATATGTAGCTGCTTTATTCGTGACTAGTCTTTGTCGGTGGTTAAGCGTGCGTGGCTGAGTGGTCAGTGCCTAAAACTTCAAATCCTTGATTGCAGTAGATCGAATCTTAGACCTAGCCGAATATTCGCTAATTCGAGATTTCTTTTTTATAGCTTTTTCTAGAGCTGATGTTTGTAGTGTTCTGCTAGTGTTTGCGAATTAAAGCTTCGCCTGTGTCGAAAATTTCTTTGAAACCATAAGCGATTATTTTTTTGATCTACAAAATTTTTAAGTGTACTGTTGGCGGCGTAGCGTATCAATTTGGTGATAATTTCTCGTTTCTACTAATGCGATTCGCTTTTACGGGATTTGTTTTCTAAAAGTTCTTCAAAACCGTTTGTTATATTCAGAAGTTTTTCCTGATCCTTTTAGTGTTTTGGATTCTTCATGCTGTTTTTGCAATCTAGCCGAAGTTTGAATTCCTAAAAAAATTGCTTATATTTTTCACGTTTCGGTGGCGTTAAATGAATGTTTTTTTTTCCGATTGAATTTAATCGTTTTTCGAGTTTTCCCTTTTTTCATTTATCAAATTATTTTTGACGACTCTTGAAGTTTGGGATGCAACTAAGGCCCATGGTTTTATTAGCGCAATCAAACGTATTCAAGGTTTTTCGCGCAATTAAACGTATTTAAGGCTTTTTCGCGCAATTCTTTTTGCAGTCTTAGGGTACCAGTTTTTATGCACGATTTTGCTCACCTGCGGTAGACCTACAAAGTTAGTTTTACTCCAGTAAAAGTTCTTTTCGAAGTCTCATTTAGCGCCTCTTTGGCAATAAAATTTTTGAAAGATATTCAATTTCTTTTATTTTATTACTCATTTTTCAAATCCACATGAAGTATATAACGCCTAATAACGCTTGCGAAGCTAGTGTATCAGTACGAACCTGCTTTTTTTCCAACCAATGTCACAAATATTGGTGCCAATTTTGGGGCACCTTTAGAGCTTTGTGATAGCATGTGCTTTGACATTCGAATAGTATAAAAAGCAACACATTTGAAGCATTTTTAATTCTTCAAATGAACCGAAAAAAGCTATTTGTTTCAAACAGCATCACAATAAAAACTCAGGTCTCGCATTTCCAAATCAATATATCTCGCAATTTTTTTTAAATGTATAATTCATACATAATATGGCTTTATGCTTTACGATTTGTTACATGCAAAGTTAGTGTGGATGCTTTCAGTTTGCAATATTCCAAATTATTACTTGCAAAATTGTATTTCGTGCCACTTTCACTGAATTGACTTGACAATTTAGCATATGTAGCTACTTCATTCGTGACTAGTGTTTGTCGGTTGTTAAGCTTGCGTGGCTAAGGGGATACTGCGTGAGACTCAAAATCTCTTGATTGCAGTAGGTCGCAGATTCGAATCTTAACGTCGACGAGTTTTTTTGCTAATTCGAGGCTTATTTCTATTTTTCTTATCTCACTTGATAGAGCTGCTTTTTGGTCGTGTTCTCGCTTAGTTTTGCGAAGCGCAGCTTGGCCTCTATGTTAACTATTTCTTCTTAAGTTTTTGTCCCGTTTGTTGCATCGGCTCTTTTTCCTTCCTGCACCTGCGAAATTTTACAAGCTGTTGTTGTTCCCGTTCTCCGATTGTTTCGCATAACTAGGCCATAACAAACATTATTGATCTCCATACTTAATCCTGTAAAACTACTAGTTACACCATAAAATTGATGTTCGTGCGAAGTGTGTGTTTGTGAGGAGGTGGTGGCGATAGAAAAAGAGCCGTAGCATCAAATCACGCTAAAAAAGCGACAGAAAAGAAAAACCGGACAAAAATTGTAGCCTTTTTTTATATTGGTCAGCTAGATTTTTGTGTGCTACTGGCGCTGTGATAGGATACTCTTGTCATTTTGTTTTTGTTTGATAAGTAGCAGAAAGCAACGCTTGGCTGTTTCTCTTAAATTGAGTTTTGCTTGACCTCTCAATTTGTTTTCAGAAAGGTTTTGCGAAGTGTTCTTTGGCTTGTGTCTTAATTTATAATTTCATTCGTGTCATGCTTCAAGCGCTAGTTTTTGATCCGGATGGAAATGAAACAATTTCGAAATATATACAATCACTTAGAAACGTAAATACTTTGAAAATTTTCAAGTAAGACGTGATGTTAAGCGATGAGTTTTTTTAGATACCAGTTTTTATGCACGATTTTGCTCGTCTGCGGTAGCCTAGCCCTACAAATTGAGTTTTACTCCAGGAAAACTTCTTTTCAAAGTCTCATTTAGCGACTTTTGGAGCGTCTTTGCAGCTTTGACTTTGTGGTAGCATGTGCTTGACATTCGAATAGTATAAAAAGCAACACAGTTGAAGCATTTTTAATTCTTCAAATGAACCGGAAAAAAGCTAATTGTTTCAAACAGCATCACAATAAAAACTGATGTTAAGCTCTGAGAAAATTTTCTTAAAAAAGAGACCGAACATGATTCTAGAGTTTCAAGTATAAACTGCAAGGGTCTGTTTTGATAATTAATATTAAAGAGTTAAAGTTTTGAACTACTTGTTTTAAGCTATTAAGATGATCAATAGGCATATGGTTATTTCGAAGTTTGCTATTTCAGGCGACATCATAGGAGCTATGAAACTCATCAATGATTTAAACTCTGATCTATTAGACGAAAACGCAGAAATCAATTTTCAACTGAAAGTGAGTTGTTTAATTAGTTTTTAAAATCCCTCAGCCTGTTTTGTTTGATGATTGCCTAATAAAAGTGAGTTACATTCAACAAATCGCTTGGTGGAACCAAATAGACGGCAGTGAATTGTTTTTTTTTTGTTAAATTTAAATAGTTATGCCCAAAATAGATATTCTGCTGAGTTTTGATAATAGTGACTAGAGAATGGTGAAGGTGAACGAAGTCGGAGTGTCAGTTTGCCAAAAATGCGAGAAATTTTTTAATCGTAATCTCTTTAATTATTGTCATCAGATCAAAAAAAGGTAATCAGATAAACAAGATAATATTCTAGAAGGTAATTTTTAACTTCCTACACTTCATTTTACAAAACATTTGAGAGCCAACATAAGGTTTTTCACGAGCAGCAATGCTTCCAAGGATGCAGCCAGTTAAATCGGAGAATATTCTAACTCTCGGCAAACTGACACGCTTGATAATTTCGGCAACCTGACCTTTCGATTTCAAATGACACCCAGAGAACTATTAAATGATTAAAGTACAATAAATGATTTGTGATAAATGATGCATTAACTCACTTGGAATGTGGGTCTGTAGATTTAGTTCCTCATAAGCCGGTATTAGTTTCCAACTATACGACATAAAACGCGTCACATGGTTTACGTCACTGATCTTCTGAGACTGGTTTTTGGACTAAAAAGCAGGCTTTTATGCTCTTTTACTGCTCTTATAGCCATCTGTGATTTTCATGGAGTGAAATGTACTGAAACAATGTCCCTAGAATTAAAATAACCGAATTCCAATAAAATTTGGTCTTGATCTACGACCTTGTAAGTCAATCAATACTTGACGCTCAAAATTTATTTATGTCTATTACTGAAAATGTTGAGAGTCTCTTTTCACATTGAAAATTCTATCCAGAGAAGTATTTTGAAAACTTCAGTGGATTCGGATCTACTTAAATCCCCCCACCATGGTATCTTCTTAACAATCTGCCCCCTATGAATAAATACGGTAAATTACGTCAGAGCTTTTTATTGCAAATTCTAATCTCGTTGCTTTCTGATTGGTCGAAAATTCGACTGTTTTAATCTACTTAACAATCTCCCACCTTTCTTAGAAGGGGAGGGGGGAATTGTTAAGTAGATCCGTTGATTCTGATAATGCCTTTTGAAAGATCTTCTTGAAACGCTTACCGTGTTGCATTGAATTAAGAAAATTATGGTCTGAGTTAAAAGCCTCCCCCAATTCCGCTTACGGGGAGGAAGTTAGCTTGATTCTGAGTTTATTGTATACTTTTTAGTCAACCAGCCCGGATGACGGCACTTTTCCAGTTCCTCACCCTCTTCTCGAGATAAAGCGGTTCAAAGAGTGTTCACACTGCATTTTGCATATAAGAAGTATTGTAAAAATTTGTTCACCTGCTCACACTGACATCTTTTAATGCAGTTTATAACATGAAAAGTCATTTTTAATAGACTTTCTTCCGTGAATTTCAGAAAAATCAAACAAGGGCATGGAAAAGAGCCCGAATGCCGTAACCCGGAGGTTAATTATTTAGTCTCACTTTGCAATTTGCAACTCACCGTGCAAATTGCAGCGAGCGTGCGATTTGAAACAGACAATCATATGGTTGCTGGTTGGGCACCATCAGCGCCACAAGGCTCAGCCAATCAGAAGCGAGCCTTTGTAAAATCTAATTTGAGGTGTGGAATTTGAATTGTTTCAGCAACAGCACGTGATTGAGTTGATCAGACGTGGGGACAAAGAAGGGGCTTTGACTTTTGCTCAGACATATTTGTCAGAGCACGGCGACGACGCGAACAAGCGCCAGGCCACGGAGAAGACTCTCATGCTGCTCTGTTTTGATGACTTCGACTCCTGTCCCGTCAAAGACTTTCTCTCGGAATCAAAGAGGCTCAAGGTGTTTATTTATTCATATGATCCACTCCAATTTTTACCTCGACAGGTGGTGATTAGTTGAAAAATTGTGATGCCCTTTCAAACTCTTTGTGAGCATTGTGCTTGCGTCCATAGTCGAAAATAACATAATTACAATAAATTATTTTGAGCATAAATGAAAATCGGCAAAGCAATTGGTCCTGGCTCAGAAATTATGTTCTTAATTTTTTTTCAAGTGATTGTGAATGAAATGAACATTGTTCGCACCTTCTGGTCGTGCGTTTTTTTCTCTCGTGAAAAGGATCTCTTTTCAGCTGGCCGAGGACGTGAACAGTGCAATTTTGATCGCACAAGACAGAGAGCCGAGCTCTAAACTAGCGAAAGCCGTGCAAATTCTAGACTGGGCTCAGAACTCTCTAGATGACCGAGGAGTGAAATACCCGAGAATCGATGACGTCACAACCGGTGAACTTTCCTACCCAGATTCGGCCAGTCTCGCTACGATGCAGTGATTGTTGGAAATTCTAGATCAAAAACAAGACTTTACATCTGATTTAGTACAAATATATACTTAACAAGTTATCTATCCTGGTGGCGACGATTAGTAAATCAAACAGCCTTCACAAGATTGTTTAAAAAGATCCGATTTTCTTGTCATCTCTCATCAAAAGTAACAGGGTGGAAAAAATTGTTAAGTAGATACCCAACCATTACAAACTTAATTTTGTTTAATTGTAAAATGTTTTATGATCTTAACTGGAATTTTAAATGTCAGGAAAATTTGGAAGGAGATACTATTTATTGATTGAAACTTGTCAGCGTTCTCTTTCGCTATTAGTTGTTGTGAAGTAGCGTAATCTATTGAGACTTAAAGTGTTGAATTTAACCATTATTCACTGATTTTTTTTCTAGTTCTGATGTCAACTTAATTGGTTTTCCTCTCTTGACGAAACATTAACTAAAAGCTTTTTCTTCTGTCTCGCTTTGCGCAGCAAGTAGTTCCCTTCAAACTTTGTCTAGGTAATTTCTTTAGGGCTGGATGCGTGTCTGAAAAAATGTTCTGGAAAAAATACATGCTATTATTACGGACGCTTTTGTCATTTTTATCATTTTCAGAACAATTATGGCATTCCTTGTGCGACGATCTCTTCCTGTACTTCTGAGAAGCGGTGCTAACCAGGTGTCCCAAGTGGCCGCCTACCACCCTAAAGTGATCGACCACTACGAGAACCCGAGAAATGTCGGATCCATGGACAAGAATGACGACGATGTCGGAACTGGGCTGGTGGGAGCTCCAGCTTGCGGTGACGTCATGAAGCTCCAAGTCAAGGTGGACGATAAAGGAAACATCGTGGACGCCAAGTTCAAAACATTCGGGTGTGGATCGGCGATCGCGTCCAGTTCTCTGGCAACTGAGATGATCAAAGGCAAGAAGATCGACGATGCGGCTATGATCAAAAATCAGCAGATTGCAAATGAGTTGAATCTTCCACCTGTGAAGCTGCATTGCTCAATGCTGGCTGAAGACGCTATTAAAGCGGCGATAAATGACTACAAACTGAAGAAACAGAAAAACAGCGCCAGTCAGTGACGCCGACGCCTCAGTCTGATTCATTGGCTGTGGTTCTTTTCCGCGCTAGGCATGGAATGCCATTTGAAATGATAAAATTAGAGAACTGAACTTAGTTTTACTGTACTTAGAGCATTACTTAACCTCGAGCGATAGTTAAAGTTAACTCTGCACTTTTTTCATAATTAACCTGGCGATCATTGAACAGGATCATTGAAATTGGTGGTCATCTCCATGTGTACTTTTGTCATTTAACAGGCTAGTTTTGAGCATATCTGCATTTTAAACGCTCATTCTATTCGAAATTTGTTTTTGTTGGTTGTAAAGTTTCCTACTCCGATTTAAGTGTGTCAGTTTTTTTTTGTTTGTAAAGAGTACTCTTATATTGCTCTTAAAATAGGAAAAAGTCTTTTTGCGTGCGATAAGCAATCGTTATCAAACTGGAATATAGACTTTTTTCGGGTTAACAATTAGTTTAACCGAATCACTTGAATCATTTGGTGTCTTGGTTCGTAATGAATTCAACTTTCTGAGCGTTTCCTTCACACTTAGTCTGGAGGTAACGAATACGCCTGGGACGCCAACGGTCCTGGATTCGTTTTTTTTTTCAAACTGGAAATAGTCAGTTTCAAAAAAATGTCGGCTGATGATTGTCTGCTGATGTTTTGTCAGCTTAGTTGCCATATTGTATAGTTTTTTTGAAGTTTTTTTTCACATTATAGTCGCTTTTAGTATTCTGAGTTCACTCTGTTTGTGTTGTTTGGTATTTTTTTCTAAACTTGACCTCTTATAAATATTTATTTATTTTTTTCGTTGAAAAACTTTATTCTGCCGATATGATTTCGGCCAGTTTTTTTTATCGGCTTAGTGACCTAGTTTTGAGTCGTTTCAACGGAAACACAATGTGTTCATTTTGATCAAAAACCAGCCATTAAGTATAGCCAAGGCTGAGGATTGTAACACAGACTATTGTTGTTCCAACTTTCGTAACGAAAATAACGGAATATTTCACTCGGGGTGGTTTTTTTTAAGATAAATTTCGACTTTTTAACTAGCCATTTTTGGCGGGATTTTTTCAACATTCACTAAGTATTGTTGTGCTGAGCTTAAATTTGGAAAAATATTTCACCTGTGATTATTTTTGGTAAAGCTATATGGGTTTGAAAGTTGCCTTTTTGGCCGATTTGGGACAATTAGCGCGCGATATATTTCGCGCTATTAACGCGTAAGCGGAGATTTAACCCGTCATAGAAATCATTTTAAATTATTTGAACGAAGCTCATTTGCCATAATTGATTCGTTACTAGGAGCGAAATGTATCACTTTGTACTTGATATGGCGTGTGGGGGGATGATTTTCACAAAAAATCTCAAACTAAAAAAAATGCATTTTTTGATCATAACATTGGAATTTTTTCATGTTATTACTGCTGCATAGACTGCTCTGAGGCATGTGAGTTGGTATTTTTTTTTGAAATTGACTGGTACTGCTACCACTGGTACGCGTCATAATTCGCGTGCATCACTTAAGAAATTTTGAAGACTCAAAGTTTTACTCATTCAGTTTTTTCCAGTAGCGTTAACGGTCAAATTTTTGCTTGTGTATGCGATGTGCAACTTCGCCTCTGTGTATATCTGCTTAGTGGGCACATAAAGTTTCCTTTGACGAGCAAATAAAGTGTTTTGACGGTGAGGTGGACTTTTTAAATTTCATAAGTTTGAAGTCTTGTTGATTTTTTTCGACTTCTGACGAAGTTTCTGACGAGGTATTATCTGCTTTGTTACTGCTGGGTACCTTATTTTCTGATGCTGATTGCACAATAATTTTGTCGTGGTAAGTTTTTGTTTCAAAACTAGGTGATTAGTTTAATAGATCTAGTTTTTTCTCGATCTTTTAGATTTTTAAAAAAAAAATTTTTCTCTATCAAGTGGTGCGAAGCTCAGCTTCGCCTCTTTGTAGAATTTGTTCATGCTTAATTTTGCTTTATCGGTGTTTGATTTAGAATTTTTTTAAAGTTCAGTGGAGATACGTTGTTAGAAGTTAGGCAAACTCTACTATCGAACAGAAAAATTGTAAAGGTCTCGAAAAATGTGATCGACTTCTAATTTCGAAAATGGAAATTAATTTTCAGATTTTCCAGTTAAGATAAAGTTTTACCTATCGATCCAGTTTTTTCAAATTGTGTTAGTTTTAACAATAAGGTGTCCATCATAACTTGTTCTACAAATTCAAAGAGCTTTAAAGTCATTACTTTTTTGTCTATGAAATTCAAAAGTTGAAATTCTTTTGAAAAACAAGTCTTTTTTTTCAGTTTTCTTCGTTGTTTACTCTTTTCCAACTGTCAGTTGGCTATGTTTTTGTTTGCCTCTGACCCTGCTCAGTGCAAGACCAACCGTGGGGGAGAGAGATGTCATCCGTTTCGTCGCAGCCGGTTCCACCTGGAGGAGGTGGATGACGCTAGGACCCTCCAATCGTGACCGAAGTGGGATTTGAACGCCTGACCCTCGTAGTGAGAGACTTTTGCCTAACCCACTCGGCCACGGCTTCTCATTTGTTTTTCGGCTGAAAAGGTGTCGGCTAAAAATATTTTGGCTCAGGGGCCTATTTGTGAGTTCTTTGACGAGAAAACAAATTCAACTAAATAATTTGAGAGGGACTTAAAAACTTGGTTTTTATTTGAAAATTATTATACTCGATTGAAATCAGGATCTAATCAAGATCAAGATGGGAAAATTTCTGATGCATGTGCAGCAATATTTACAGATGAGATCTGTTTTTATGTTTCATTGAGAAAACTGCTTACACTCATTAAGATCTTGTGGTTTTTTTTTTCAAACGTGGACAGTTCGATCATGCTCAGATTTTTTGCGGTTTAAATTTCAATTTTTTCAAGTTCAGTTCAAGTTCATTGCCTAAATGAAACAAATTGTACTCTTCAATTACTAAACCGAAAATGGCGCGAAAAATCGTGAAATACTTCTGGCTTTGAAAAGTGGATTCTCATTTAAAGGTTAACCAGCAGAATAAATTTTATACGTTTTCCCTAATGGGTTTTATTGAGTTAGAAATTGTTTGAGCTTAAACGTGATGTATTCGTTTCTGAAATTAGAATGTTGAAAATCTTCACGAAAAAACAAATACTCTGCAACAAAACCTTTCGAGCCTGTCTTCTTGGCGTAAAACCTTGTTTCAGTGTTTTTGAAAATTTGCTAAATTGATAAAATGGCTTAAAATGATTTAAAAAAAAACTGTTCCGCATTGGTTTTTGATTTGATTTTCCGCATTTGAAAATGTTTTTGTTCATGTAGTTTTATGATAGAATATTTTCACTATGCTTGTATGAGTTAAGTAGATATTTTCGCAAAAAAATGGTTGAAAAATTGTCGTACGATTTTGAAGACTGCACTCACAGGACTCGATTTTAACGAGCAAATAAACAAAATTTTTCTTCCTTTGTCATTTTCTCTGTCACTATTTAAGATGTAGGGTTCAAGTTCTGCCAAATGGTTGATAAAACTTTTTGGAAGAACAGCCGGGCCAAATTTTGAGAAATATTGTTTTGAAGTCGTGAAGTAGGCATAATGAAGTAACTTATTTTTAGAGTTGTTCTTGCTATGATAACACCGGTATGCCACCGATAAACTACAGGTAACAGAATTGAAAGAGTTACTAGGTCCGGCAACAAATAACGGCCAAAATTCATGAATAACTGTGTGCTGATGATCGAGGTCAATAGTTTTGTCCAACTTTATTGTATAAGCTCCAATTTACTTATGTATGTATCGTCGAATTATTTATGATCTTTTTCGACTCCGAACCTAGTAACATTCAATTCTGTTATTTGTCGTTATATTCAAATTCTCTGTTTTGGGAGGATTTTTTCACAGTAAGAAAACTTCTAGTTATGATATATACATCTTAGTTATGATATAATGGTTCTCAATTTTTGGCCCGACTAACTTCCTTTGTTCTATTTTTTAGCAAAGTTTTAACTCTAAGTGAGGAAAAGTTTGTTAATTTGGTCGTCCAAAACAAAAAGTTGCAACTCCTTTGTCCCAAGACTGTAAATCATATTGAATAAATGAGGAAAACCATCTTTTGATATTTTCTTAAAACTTGAAATAGTAGTTATATGCAAAAATTGGCTACCAAAAACTTTCGTACGGCGTCGATTGGTATATCTTGTTAAAAGTTTTCAATCGCAATTAGATGAGAGAATCAATTTTTTAAATGTAAAAGAAGGAAGTCTTTAGGTCTTGATGATTTTTTGTTTGATATTTCGCAGTTTGATTTTTATGTTCACTTCCTTTCCTTTTTTAAATCAAAGCAACAAAAAGAGGACAAATTTAAGGTCTGTAATTTTATCGATTTTCCTGGAAATCGCTGAAATTTTTTCCTTCTTTGTTGAGAGCTTTGTTTTTTCCTTGAGATCGGGAATATTTTTTGCGTTGTCTTGAAGTCCAAAGTTCGTCCCACCAAAATGATAGTCTGAATTATTACAATCCATATTAGATTATGACGGAGTCTGCTAGTATAGCATTTAGTTCAATTAGGTTGACTTTTAAGATGATCAAGTGATGTCTGAAAACACCGACGAAGACTTCAAGGTCGGAGACAAAGCCTGGATCAAACTTCCAGGTTACCCACATTGGCCAGGACGCATAGAGGAACCTAAAAATATCCGCGAACGAAAAAAAGTGCGTCCAGGTTTCTTCCTGGTGTTTTTCTTTGGGACGCATGAAACAGCCATTTGCGCAGTGCACGAATTATATCAATGGAATGAAGAGAATAACAAGAAGTTTTTCGTCGAACGAGACACAGTTTACTTTACTGACAGTCTTTGGGAGGTCGAAAATGATCCTAACGTTAAGCGAGACGCACCAGTGCCGGCTATAACCAAACCACCTGACTTGGAAAATGTGAGCAAATATAATCCGATCGTACCCGCGACATTCTCCGACGGCGAGGGTCCCGCCGAGGACCAAGTTCCAGAAGACGCAAAAGATAGTTCGGACCCCGAGAAAAGTGGGTCGTCGAGTAGTGACCCCGACGCATCATCCAGTTCCAGCAGTAGTTCTAGCTCAGATTCCGACTTCGAAAAAAGAAGGAAAACGAAAAAGAAAACGTTAACTAAGAAAAAAGCGCGCGCAAAAACGAGCGGGAAGAAAGTAAAAGTTGGAGTAACGAAAAAGCCTCAAGTAAAATCGTCGTCATCTAGCAAATCAAAGTCGGCTCAGAACCAGAAAAAGACTCCCGGTGACTCTTCGTCAAGTTCAGACAGTACAGTTGATGACGTAGACGTCTCGTCTTCGAGTGACGAGGAGTCGATTGCCAAGTTCAAGAAGCTCACCTCAACTGCTAAACCACCCGCACCTCGAACTTCGGCAGCCATCATACCAAAGCCATTATCTGCTAAGAAGCCCGATAAGCCGAAAAGTCCGACTAAACCTAAAACGGTAGGATATTTTAAAAGGACTTTGTCCTGCAGACAATTATTATTAGAGTCAAGAAATGTAAATGAATCAAGTATTTTTTCGCGTGCTCAAATGTTGAAAAGGTCAAATATTTTTGCTTTTGAAATTGAAAATAGAAAACCGCTTCGGATTTCTAGTTTAAAATGAGTTTTTTAGGAAATTAAGAAAGAGGGAGGGTCTAGCGACGAAGAAGCAGCACTTAAAAAATTCGCAGCAGCTGAAAACAAGATCGAAAGTGGTCAGAAAGCTGCAGAGGAGCCGGAGGTCAAGGTCAAGCAGATAGAATCGGCAGACGAAAAAGCAGAAGTAGTTGTGAACCAAGATGAGGGAAATTCGAACTTGGCCGCTTTTTTGAGCGAAAGCGACTCCGAGTCAAAACAAGAATCGAAGCGTCAAAAATCACCAGACACCAAAAAGTCATCTTCGTCTTCAAGTATGGTTTTTGACATTTTAGGGATTTATTGAAGCTCTGTGTAACGTTTTTTAAATAGAGTCAAAAAAATGTATTTTCATAGGTAAGCAAGGAGGGCTTGCATCAAACCATTGGGCACTCGGAATGCCGTGCCATATATTTTCAATGACTATCCTCCGCCTCCGTTGCGTGTCAACAAATTATTTTAACGAAAGGTCGGGAGTCTCTCTCGAGAGTCTCTCTGATTCGCGTTCTTGAAATGAGGGAATCGCTCATGCCAGAATAATCGAATGCCCAAAAATTATATCAGCTAAACAAAATTCAGTATCGAAAAGCTCTAAAATCAGTCAGTTTTGAAAGGATCGCTTTTGATCAGTTTTTGGTAAATTTTGAAAGGGCATCAACCAATCATATTCCGGCATTCTCATAGGATATTCGGGAACAAGCATTAGAACTCCCCCCGATTTTTTTGTTAATTGTTGTTTTTCATTGACACATTTAGTTGTTGTAGGTCGTATAAAAACAGAAGGCTCTGTTGGGCTCAAATCACCTAAAATATCCTCTAAACTACTGGAGAGTGGTGATGTCAAGGACGACCAGAGTGTGTCAAGTTCAAAATCAGAGCCAATGGAAGTATCTGAAAAATCGCCAATTTCTGGCAAAAAACGGCCCGAGGAAAAGGAACAGGATGAGGATTCGGACTCGCCACCTTCGAAGAAGCGAGAAAGATCTCCTCAGTCCTCCTCGAATCAGTTGGAAAAGAAATTGAAGCGACACAAAGAGAAAATGGAGCGACAGAAACAGATTAAAGAGCAGATGGTATGACGTTGTTTTAGGGTGATATATAACAAAAGGTGGCAGTTTACTGACAGGTTTTTATTTTTAAAAAATGGTCCGAGTGGGAATCGATCCAGGATCTCCGTGTATTGAGGTAAATGCGTTAGCCTTGACACTAGCCAGTCTGAAAAAACATGAGAATGGAGAGTTTATTAATCAGCTCGGAACTTTAATATCTATCTATTCTTATAAATTTAAATGCGGGGTTCACTATGTCGCCATGTTTAAGTTTTTTCAATGTATTATTTTTGCATGTTTAACGAAATTTTTTTTGCATGTTTAAGCCATATCGTATATTGCAATTCTTCAGAATTTTTTTTTTCGTTTTTCCAGTTTGAATTCAGTGTTTTTTCGCTAAGTTTGAAATTAGCAACCCAGAAATGGGATGCTGTCAAGGTCGACACTAAAGGTTGCAAACTGGGCCTTGAAAACTAAATAGATTGGGTAATCAGATTGAAATTCTTTGCGTGCATTAAATTTTTCCATCGGTCAGTTGGCAATACTTTGTCGTGTGTAGAGCTAGTTTTTGCTCACCATAACGATTTGTAGTATTACCCGTTTGAAGATAATCATTTTTTAGAAAGAGGAATCTGAAAAAGCGGCAGTCAGAAAGCCTTTGATAGAGGAATCGGACAACAGTTCGAATGAAGAAGACGAAAGAGACAAGAGTCGTAAATCAGAACAAGTGCGCAAGATGAAGAGCGCAATCATCATGGATGCGCACAAACTATCTTCCGACAGGGTGCTCGACAAGTTACATTTTGAACTCATGAGATCTTTGACTCAGAAAAGTCTGAATCATGAACGAGCTGTGACGTGTTTAACTGAGATGAAAGATTATCTGACCAGTGAAAATTTGAAAAAGGTTTCGGACGTGTTTACTACTATCAAGAAAATTAGAAAGTACAAAAAAGATGTGGCAGTACAACAGAAAGCGGAAGAGATTTTCAATTCAATGAAATCGCTAGTTTCGCATGCGGACTCGGAAGTTATCAATAAGTTAGTAGAGGAGAAAAAGAAAAGGCACAGTGAAGCTGCAAAGCCACATGAAGGAGCAAAAACTGACTCAGAAACGCACGCAGAAGTCAAATGTGTCCAAACAGAAGCCGCAGAAGTGAATCCAGAGGCTGCGAAAGAGACTACAAAAGAGTCGCAGCCAAAAGAGTCAGAAGTTCTACTGGTGCAAAGTCAGGCAACCGCTAAAACTCAATCTGAAAAAGATGAACATGATAGTAAACTGCCTACAGAGGCTAATAAGAAAGAAGATGTTTCGGATTTGAACTCACACCAGGAAACGGATGAAAAAGAGGTTGAAAAGGAGGAGGAGAATCCAAAGCCACTGGTGTCTGCGAGCACCAAACCAGCCGTGCAATATTTCTTTCTCCGAGGATCAGAACCAGACCCAGGAAGCGGAGCTGGACTCGCGAACAGCGCTGGAGGAGTTGCGAACGTCGGCGAGGATTCGAGTCAATCATCGACAACATCTTCAGTTGAAACAAATGGTCACGCTAAAAGAAATCCAGAAAATCCAATGGATAATGGACCGAGGTTGACGCCGACTCTTGACGAAGCCAGCGGAGATACAATGGACTGTGAACAGGATATCTTGTCGTCGGAGACAAAAGAGAACAATAACAGAGGGAAGGAAGGAGACCGATTTTTAAGTGAGAAGCAAAGTAAAGTGGTGGACCCTGCGATTGACATTGACTCCGAATTAGGGATCTGAAGAAAAGAGTTTTTGAAGGCTCAATAGTGAATCCTGAATTTAGAATGACTCGTGTTTATCCAAACTATATTTTATTTATGATTGTTTTTAAACTCTCTTCTCAAGTCTAAATGCTTATTTTGTTGTCAAGGACGTTGTTTTATCCTCTGCTACTACCGGACCGGGAGTTGAAATTAAAAATGTCGATAAATAAAATCTGTCAACACAAGACATCATGGAGCCGAATGCAAAGTCATTGATTTTTACACGACGCTTTTTTGTCGATAACAATTAAATGATGAAAACTATTGGAAGGTGATGGAGGGGAGTTTTCAGCTAGTTTTCACAAGGAGATTAACTAAAAGTTTTCACCATTGACGTGTGTTGTTTAGTCAACCAAATCTGATTAGCGTTGAATGTTTTGTTGTTTGTCTTGCAATTGCAGAACAATTTATTTGATTACAATTGAGGAAAAGTGACATTTATGCCGTTGATATCCTTGTTTCTTTATTCTTACGAGCAACTAGCTTATTTTTCATCCCCACGTTTTATTCAGCACATGAATATCATTGAGTAATTTAGCAGGAGCATTTTTAGCCTCAAAGTTGCGAATAATTTTATCCATTTTCAGATTATTGTTTTGGTTGTGGGTTATGTAGTTCAGGGTTCGGGTTCTTCCTGCAGGGTGAAGTCTGTTTTTCTATCGAGGTTGTGGCAATCTATTTTTCTACTATCCTGTGAAATTCCTGCGTAAAGCGAAATGGCGAAGTTTATCATCTGTTTGGACTACCGAGTTTTGTAAGACTTGAGCTAACCATGGCGACTACGTTATCAACTTCGAGTAGTGGACCGGCGCCTCTGGCAACCCTAAACCAACCCCCTTTTTTGTCCAAGAACCTTGATCAAACAAGAGTTAGCTGTTCGACGGGTATTAGGAGCACGACCGTGCCTCTACCCGGTGCCTCCAGTGCTTCTTCCGCGGCGGTGGTTAACCCGGAACTCTACGTGAGTCCGGAGTGGCTGGCAGCTCTCCTCAAGAGGTCTTCTGGCTCATCCTCCAACAACTCTCTCAACTCTTCCTCAGTGTGCAGTGATAAAACAAGCAGTATACCATTCAAGGTGAGAAGTCGCATCCATCGAAATTTTTTTTTGTTAACGACCAAGGCGGATTTGGGCTGGTGGGGGGGGGGGGGGGGGCTTCCCCCTCAGGGATTCGACCCCCTGCCGATCCAAGGGTGGGTCCCCTCTTTGTACTATTTTGAGATATCCATCTGTGGTGACGGATCCTAAAAATTTTCCAAAGGCGCCTTCTGCGCCAATATATACTAATTTTGAGGGGGAGCGCGCGCCAAAACCCAATTTTTAGTCAAAATTTTCCTGAAAATTTGACAAAAACGGTCATTTTAATGCTTTAAAGAGATCTCGGAAAATCAATTTTGTCGAACTAAAAAAACTGTAGACAAAATTTTCGTTTGAAAATTACCTTACGCTCAAATTTAAAAATTTTGCGACGTGAATTATGGTTCCTTTCAATATCACTTCAAAATTTTTTTCGATGAATAGAGGGATAGTTACCATCTTCAAAAACCGAAGGGAAAATAGTTTGAAAACTCATGAATTAATTTTTCCTTCAAAAAAGGATTATAATTTTAACGCTTGTGATAAGCACGCGTCATTAAATCGACACATGCATTGTTTCAGGTTAACAACTTAATTAACTGAATCATGTGGTGCCTGGGTTTCTACGCCTCTTAGCGTCGTATAATGCACTTTGGCTGGGTCGGTCTAATCCGTCCAGGCCCTCTTTTTACGCCTAGAAAAGTTGTCTTATATTTTTTTGTCATATTATAGTTTTTCTTATTATTTGTCGGCTCAGTCGCCACAGCAGGGAAGTTTTAGGTGATTTTAGCAACTTTCACGTTCTTTTTAAATCTTTTTGATGTTTTCCTTTATTGGTGCTCGTAATTTAGTTCCAAGAATGTTTGCTGATTTTGTTTACTATTTTAGGACAATTTTGTTGAATTCTAGATCCCGTCATTTTCTTTTATTATTCAGATAAACTGAAAGTTTTCACTTATCATAGTCAAAATTTTTAGAATCATGATTTTATCTGATTTCAAATTTTGAATCATTATTAACATTGGAAAATCTCTACTTTCTGAAAATTTACTATTTCATAAAATTTAGCACTAAATAGTTAGCACTTTTATATAGTTAAATACGGACTTCACTATCTCGTCATGTTTAAGCTTTTTCAACGAATCGTTTTTGCATTTTTTCACTAGTTTAAGCTGTAGCGTATATTGCAATGCTTAAGAAAAATTTTCGATTTGTCCGGTTTATGAATGTAAAGTCAGTTGTAGGGCCCGATTGTAAGGTTGTAGCCACACCAGCAGGTGGTGGGGGGAGGCGCAGAGCAGGTTGGAAGGCAAGCAGGGAAGTGCAAGGAGTTTCAGTCATCGATCTAGCCTGCCATCCGCAGTTCTATCTATATACCAATTCATCTATCTATATATAATTTCGGGTTGATGTCTTTGTATGCCCAGAGGTTGTTATTATGGTCTCCAAATTTCTCATCTCAAATGTTTCCACTCTCCGAGTTTTTCAGTTTTTTGAAGACTGTAGAAAGATTTCTCAGTAGTTTTCAAATGTTTTGAAGGATCCTGCCTATGGTGTTGTACTGTGATGTTACTCCCAAGCGTTGCACATATGGCCTCTATTCACGACTGCTTAATTTTTGTAGTTTTTGAGATATGACGATTTTGTGTTTTTGTTTCAGAAATAGCCAAACTGCGAATTAAACACAACGCTGGATTAAACAGCGATTTTGATGACAGCAATTTTATATGTACGGACTTTGAATTTAAATAATTATATGGAGCAAAAATCTGACTAAAAAAATGAGTAATTTTTTTTTACAAAAAATTATCCGCTTCAGCTTTTCTTACATATTTAAAGTGCAGTTGTATACTGTCAGAATTTGTGGGATCTTGTTTCTGAGTTGAAAATAAGATCTGAACCCAGCAGTCTTGGATATATGAAAGTTTAAGAAAAAATGTTCTCTTCGATATTTTTTTTTCGGCTGTGAAATTACTGAAATTTTTTTTTCTATCCTACAAAATTTTTGTCTTTACTTCAGTCTGAATGTTTGGTAAGGCTTGATTTCCAGGGTGAAATTTTTACACCAACGAGCTTCGAGCGTAGTGTACTCGAACGAAACTTCTTTTTTTCTAACCTAACTTGCAAATAAAAGTGTTCAATTAATTGGTGGCTCTTTTACTATAATCACGATCTGTAGCATTGAAAATTTCATAGCATCTGTTCTCGGCTTTATTTGTGCCTAGTGTTTGTTATCTATTAAGCGTCCGTGGCTCAAAAGTTTGTGCTTGAGACGTCGCAGATGGAATCCGAGACGTAGCCGAATTTTTACTAATTCGAGGCTAATTTCTATTTTTCTTATTGCATAGTCGGTTTTACTATAAACGTAGATTTGGTTTAACGAATTTGGTTGAAGGTTCTTCAAAAAGAAAAATTCAAAAATCTTTAATATTTTAACTGAGCATTATTAACAGAACGGCAATTAATTGTTATGGTAGTCATGTTTAAGAGTAATGAACGTAGTGAAGACTCCTATATAGGTCTTGCTGATTTTTTTTTGTTTTTTTTTCAGGAAAAAGTCTTAAAATATTGATGCACTTAGGTATAATGCACTTTTTGAAATCAATTGAATTCATTTGCTGAAAGTGAGGTAAATAGCACTCTCCAAATACGAATGTGGAAATGGCGCGAAAAAAAAAGCGATTTCTGGTTTCGAAAGTGGAGTTATTTTTTAAGATTTCCCAGCGGGATAAAAACTTTTCCATTTTGATCCAGTTTTCTCAAGTTGGGTTCATGTTATCAAATAAGCGCCAGTCATAAATTTTTCTAGAAAATCAAAGAGCTTAAAGGGCATCTATTTTTTTCTTTGAATTTCGAAAGTTGAGATTTTTTCAAGAAAGTCAGTGTTTTTTTTTTGCTTTCATTACTCTTTTCCAATAGTCGATTAGCTATGTTTTCTGTATTTTTTCAAGTTTTCAAGACGTATTGGAGGCTCTCATGGTGCTGCCAGTTTTTTCATTCAAAAGCATCGAGGAATGACTAATTGCCCTTTAACTGGTGCGGAAGAAGTCGTGCCCTCGAATTGGCTAATTTGGACCGCCGTTTTTTGAAAAGCTTGATTTTGTGATTTTTCAAGCCATTGAACGAATGAAGACAGCTAATTATGCTCTATTTTCTTTTTTCAAGCTGAGCTCAAGTTTCGCTCTCAAGTATCGAAAGATTTTTTAATTGGAAGTCTACGAAAAATATCAGATGAGTGTCAACAGGCGCTTTTAACAGCAAAGAAAAGAACATCGCGGAACACTACTATGTTGTGGGCGTTCTTTGAGCAGTCATCAGTTGTTTTATTGAGAGCTAATTGGCTTAATGTTCTATTAAAACAGTTTTTTTTTGTGATAGAAAATGGTAATAGGGAAATTATTCAAAATATGTGTAGAAAACATGGGGTATGAGTTATCTAGTTTGATAAATGGATATGTAAATGAAGTACCTTTGTTGCCAACAGATTTTTTGACCCCTATGTGCTCTATCCCTGTGACGTTGGTATGATGTATAGAAAAGAAGAGCAGGAAACAATTTTGTGCCAGTTGATATTTTTCTGGCCTTATTTTATGAACTTTGAATTCATTTGGAGGACACTGAATTTGATATACTCTGTATTTTGTGCTGATTTCGATTTGTTTGGTTAAGTGTAGTGCATTGTTATGTTGCGCAGAAGTAAGTCGACGTCAAAAACTTGGGACTAAGTGCACAGTCCCCATCCCCCAACTCGAGGAGGATTTTACACAAGGAGAGGGGGCGGATTTTTAAAGTTTGTCGACCTTTTTTTAGGTTGACTAAACTGATTTTCCGAGTTCTCCCAAAGCAGTAAAAAAGACTCTGTTTTAGCGAAATGTTCTGCGCCGCAGGCAAAATTTCGAAAAAAAAAACAGACCAAAAAGGCACTAGTTTGGCCATTTTTCGGAAAATTTGACCAAAAAAAATCCGTTTTTTCGGCGCGCGCTTTAAAGTCGCCAATGTTTACTTATTTTGATCTCCCCCTAATCCGCTGCTGTGCCTGTGTGTGCGTGCGTGCGTGGAGGGGGGTTGTTCACACGGGACAAAAATTGCACTTTTTTCTGATGTGGAAGATTTATGGAGCGAACCTTTTGCATCTGCTCGGAATTAGGTTTTTTATTCAGTGTTGATGTAAATTTACCGTACAAGCCGAATAACTGGAATGTTTTTATTTCGTTTTCCTTGAGTTGGGTTATCGTAAAACCAAAATTATGAAGACAAAACTTGCTTAGAGATTTAAAAAAAATTGATACATATTGATTTGTTTTGCAAATTCAGTTACTTGTATCAACAAAGTGTCAATCAGTGTGGTGAAAATTTAAAAGATATTCGAGTCCATATATCTGAAATTATAAAATGCGAAAGTTGAGAATTTTTTCAAAAACAAGTAGCTTTTCCTTGCGTGCATTGACTCTTTTCCTATTGTCAATTTAAAATTCTTAAAAACTAGAAACGGCCCCAAGATGCCCGATTATTGGAGTGGCTCCGATTTTGTCAAAAATTAATCCAAATCGAGAATTTCCAGTTTTGTCTGGATAAACAAAAATAAATGTTTCAGACTAAGTGTTTTGCGCTTTTCATTTTCGCATGCATACTTGCAGTGTTGGTAATCATTTAAAAGGCAGTTGTCCCTGCAGTTTTTCAATTTAATTCAATCACCACTTGTGAGACTGAATACTCTTTTGAAATCTGAATTTCATGTAGTCTAAATCCGCAACAGGAGAAGTTGGTTTCTGTGTCAAAAAAGTTCGAGCACAGAATCCAACTACAAATCATTCTAAAAATAGAAGAAAAAAACTTTCTAAAATTAATAGTTGATGTACAAGAAAGGTCATATTAATTTAGAGAATAATTTGCGGAAAGTTATGATAAAATGAGTTACAAAGCCAAACAAAAAAGGCCAGCCGAAATTTAAAAAAAAAAGTTTGATACATTTTTCTCAAATTGGGTCATTTAAAGACAAC